GAAGAGAGCCAAAGCATAAGAGACTCTTAAAAACTGAGAACAAACTGAGGGTTGATGGGGGGTGGGAGGGCGGGGAGGGTGGGTGATGGGCATTGAGGAGGGCATCTTTTGGGATGAGCACTGGGTGTTGTATGGAAACCAATTTCACAATAAACTTCATATATTGGAAAAAAAAAAAAGAAACAGCTCTTTCACATTCATATTTTATCAGCTTACATAATACTAATTATGTAATTATACTAATAATTAAGCATGGGTTTACACCACTTACAAACAGTGGTTTGCTAAGGAAAAAATCCATATTCCCTCTTGGTAAGTCTATAACAAATGCATGTATAAGCTTATTAGAAAATAGCCTTCTTGTTCCTGTCAGTTGTAGAGGAGTCTGTCAAAGGAGGTCAGTTAAGACCTTTTCCTATCCACGGTATTCACTACATTTTAAAACTGATGTAAGTTTTTCCATACATAGGTACATGAAAATAACATGCAAGAAAAAAGGATGATTTGAAAAATCTGTCTTACAAATAAGACCAACTGCAAACTACCTTTTGCCAGTCAAATGATTGTTGTTAAGATTGTTTTCGTCAGAAAATTTGTCAGAGACAGTATAGGTTTTTTTCAGTTGGTAATTTAAAAAGATGTGGGAAGAAAAAAGAAAAGGTACAAGCAATCTGGAAAGCCATTTGACAAAAACTGCTAGAGTTCAACTATTTATAAGCTATAATCCGTCAATTCCATACCCAGGTATATACTCGCGGGGGGCGGGGAGGGGGTGCATGTGGATGTCTGTATTCACTAAAAAATATGCAAGAAGATTTATAGCAACATTATTACTAATGACTAAAACTGGAAACAGCCTAAGTGTCAGCAGTACAATGAGTAAATACATTACAGGGTACTTAATTCGTGGAATACTATCTACAACAATGAGAGTGGACAAAGTACAACATGCAATAATGTTGGTAAATCTCACAAAATCTAACCATAAGTGAAAAGTCCCAGACCAAGAAAATACATAATATATGATTGCATTTGTATGATGTTCAGACCTGGCAAAAGTAGGCTATGGTGTGCTTTTTGTGAGAGAGCAAGAAAGTGTAACTAGAAGGAAGCACAAGATGACTTTTGGAGCTGTGGAAATACTCTGTCTTAACTTGGGTGCTATTCTCTTTGAGCTGTATGCTTAAGATATATGTGTTTTTATTATGTATGGTGAACTGCAAAAAAAGAAAAGAATGTGATTTTATCTGATGGAACTAATATTAACTACATGAAGTAATAACAAAAATAAGTTGAATTCTACAAAGGGATTTGTGAAGAGCTTAATTATGGAATCTATCAAAAAGGGAAATAAGAGTTAACAACTTAAAGTGTACCATATGTAGCTTATTTAGTTATAACTCATTTCAAGCCAACTTGTTGTATTTTGCATACTTAGTGCTTGGATTATGCAACCACTGAGAATTATTTAATAAGCATACAAATATAAATGATAAATTACTTTATCCTAGTCCTGTAAAGTAATCTGGATTGCCCTCCTCATTTTTTTTAAGTGTTAGGTTTCTGTTCAGGATAAAACACTATTTAAAAATTAGACTGAAATTTGGTTCATTGGCCAAAAATACACTTCATTAACTGACCTCCTTTTGTAGAATATCTTTATTGAGAATTTTTACCTCTGGTTTTCCTCATTTCAAAGGAAAAAAATCATGAAAATATTCTGGTACTCATTTATTCAATTTATATAATGACAAACAAAAATCAAATACATATTAGAATAAGATCAAAAGAAGCCTTAAACCATTCTCCCTCTCATGAGACTCACTGAATTTGCAAGACATTCATATTATTTCAGTAGTGGTACAAATATATGCTAGCCCAGCACTTTATTATGCAAGAGGCAATAGAGAAGAAAGAAATATTCAGTTGCCATAATGAATAATCTTATTCATTGTGGGGAGTGAAACACAATTGCATAAACCATTAATAAATGTGATTCCCCTCTTCAATTAAATTGTAGTTGTTTCCCTTGTGTAGTAAATACAGACGAAAAGTGTTGATTTGGCAAGAGAAAAGAGTATGCTTCTAAAGTATTTAATCAAGTAGCTAATCATTTTGAAAAACATTTATGTTAGTTTATATGTTAACTATAACATTCCATGATTGGAGACCCTATAATTTCTACAAAGAAGAAAAAATATTTGAAATAATGTGATTTGACACAGAATAGCAGCATTGTCCAATAACTATGTCTATTTTTTTTGGAAGTAAATCTTTGCCTAGACTTTAAACATATATTCCTTAAGTTTGTTAAAATTATTTTATGGTCCTCAATGAGATATGAACCATACCCCTAGAAGAAAAGGTCTAAGGCATTCTAATAAGTGAGTTCAATTCTTAAAGACCAGAATTCTGTGAATACTTTGCCAACCACTCACCACTTTTGCCTTCTGTCATGCTAACTCCCCCCACATTCTGTACCAGTGAGATACAGCCTTGGTTGAGTGTGAGGGATGAGCTGGGCAACTAACAGTGTGGGTGGGGGAGTAGCACCTCTCACAACAGAGTGCCATTACTGAGATTTCTAAGGCTTGATCTCTACTACGGGGAAAGTAAAGAAATTGAGGTAGAAAGCCATCTCACAGAGTAGCTTTGTTACTATAGATTTCTAAGTACTAAAAAGAGAAAGAGTGGAAGGAGCCAGGTATCTGTTCCTTCAACCAACCTTTAATCTGGTAACTTTCAATCAAAGCCACCTTTGACACCAAGAATTGGGGAAGTGAGCCAGATCAGAAAAGATATAAGATAGGAAGTAGCCCCTGGCATGGAAGGCCAAAAGCAGAAGGAATAAGCAACTATGGGAAATTACTATCTCCCTAAATTCACATCACCTCATATTAGCTTCTTTGTATGTTATTTTGAAAAATGGGAGTATTGGGTGTGTTGGGGTATGTGTTAAGCACCCCTGGTTGAAATTATTGTTGGGGCGCCTGGGTGGCGCAGTCGGTTAAGCGTCCGACTTCAGCCAGGTCACGATCTCGCGGTCCGTGAGTTCGAGCCCCGCGTCAGGCTCTGGGCTGATGGCTCAGAGCCTGGAGCCTGTTTCCGATTCTGTGTCTCCCTCTCTCTCTGCCCCTCCCCCGTTCATGCTCTGTCTCTCTCTGTCCCAAAAATAAATAAACGTTGAAAAAAAAAAAAATTAAAAAAAAAAAGAAATTATTGTTATTGAAATGACTACTGAACTAAGAATGCAACCTGTTTAGTGAACTGGAAACTTGAAGATTCTAGCCACAAAATAAAGAGTGTATGAATAATTTGGTTACTGTGTTACAGTGTTGCTGTGTTAAATTTTTCTGTGATTGAGTATGGTAAAACTCAAATCCTTCATACTATTTTCACATTTTTCTGAAACAATTACAATTATGTTATGGCTTAAAAAAAAACATACTTTAGGTGTAAATGTCAACCTTGCAATCTGTAGTTAATAGCTTTGAATTCATGGAGGTTTCATTTTTTTAGTAGTGATATAGCAAAAATATTTAACATTGTACTCCTATTCTTTTATTAGGATTTGGAACTTGGAAGGAATGCAGACAGCTCATTTTGTTCTTCATTCCCCGGGAATGAGTGTGTGCTGGCATCCTGAGGAAACTTTTAAGGTTGTTATTTACAATTTAGCTTTCTTTTATCAAGCTGAAAAGACATATACATGTGTAATACATGCATACATAGAGAAGAAAAAGCAATTACTTTTTCCACCTCAGGGACTCTAATTGTCATAAGTGCATTTAGACTAATCCAGAATTCTGTAACTTAAAAACTCTATAATTAAGTTTTTATTTTACAGCCATCATCCATAAATGGAATTTTTTCAGAGTACATTTTTCCTACCTTCTGGTAAATTTCAATTAAAAAAAAAAAAACCTGATGCCTAGACTATGTAGTAGCAGTATTCATTTGGGGAAAAAAAAAAATGTTAAAATCCACTTTTGCAAGCCATAACATGTAAACAGAAAGCATCAGTGGCATAAGGCAAATTTGACCTAGCTGCAGTGGTATTCAATTCCTATTATTCAAAGTAGAGCTTTCTAAAATTCTAAAAATATATTGCAAGTTTTTATCAATTGACCTTAATTCTTATTTCATTGAGAAGATCAGCTATATTCAATAGGAATTCTCTTATTTGCCAGTATCTTCTCTTGGGCATCACTCTATTTTATCTTTCCCTAGAACCTAAGAAGTTCCCATGTTCATCTTCTTAAACTTAATTCTTTAGCTGTATAGAGTTCATGCCAGTTCCTTAGGCATCTTGATTTTATAGCTCTCTAATGTCTTTCATGCTTCTCCATGGACTCTCTTCTGTCCTCATACTTGCAGAGAAATATAAGCCTGTTTAATTATAACAAACACTTACATAGTACTTATATGTACTTGGCCCATTATCAGCATTTCATGTTAGCCCACTTAATCCTCATGGCATCCTTATGAGATAGCAAGCAACTATGATGATCCTCACTTTACAGACAAGGAGACCACTTCTATCTTGAAACCCTGCTCACTTAATCTTTAAAGCTGCATTATTCTAGTCCTCTTGAGCATCTCTGCGTGTTATCTTCCCTTTTTCTTTCTCCTCTGTCAGCTTCTTTCACCATGTATTTGTGAATTGTTGCAAGAGGTAATTCTCACCTACTCTGTGCCCTTTATTGTAAGAGAGGATAGAAGAATGAATAAAGCCCTTGCCCTTAAGTTACACATGACTGACATGTAAGGAAGAAAAACATGTAATTAAATACAATAACACAGATTTTAAGTGTTGGAATAAAGAAATCTAATAAGTAGAATGATGACATAAAAAAAGGATTAAACAGATCTGCTCATAGCCTTCACAGAAGAGGTAATCCTGAGCTGAAATGTCCCAGACCATATAACTGTATTCTCTGAACCTTGGGATGCCATGAAAACTTGTTTCAGGCCTGTTGGATCTTTCTTCAGTAGAACTATATACCCTGTACATGTGCATGAGTAAAATTTTCCCATTTATTCATATTGCATTTGTAGGGATTGTTCCATGTAGAAGTATTATGAAGCCAGGCCCTGTATTTTATTTTATGCCAGATTTCTCCCCTGTAGTAGTGAGTCTACTTGAAGTATAATTAGGGATCCTACCTAAATGTTAATATCACCATGTATAAATACAGTAGGTTACTTTTTAAAATCTGTGACCTGGGGCACCTGGGTAGCTCAGGCATTTGAGCATCCAACTTCCGCTCAGGTCATGATCTCACGATTTGAGTTTGAGCGCCACATTGGGCTCACTGCTGTCAGCCTGTCAGCACAGAGCCTGCTTCAGATCCTCTGTCCCCCTTTCTCTGCCTCTCCCCCACTTGCACTCTCCCAAAAAATAAAAATTTTAAAAATTAAATCTGTGACCTAGATGAGAAATGAGAACTTTTCTTACAACCTCTCTCCCAAAACTTACATCTTAATGCTTATGATTCAGATCCCTTTCCTCCATGTGCTTTAATTTCTGTTTTTCTTCTGTATATCATTAAAACTCCACCCCACCTCCTCTCCTTTTTTTTTATTGCTTCCATGACTTCAGAATGTTTAGAAATCCCTGCTGTAAATTACATAAACTCAAAATCTGAAATCACCTTTGATGTCTTCCTTCCCTGTATGCAGAATTTTCGAGGTTTTTAATTTTTCCTTCCCTGTTACTAGAACACATTCCTCCATCATTAAAGGTATATTCTTCACCTTTCTGTTCTCATAAGTAACTCTTGCTAAGGCTTAGCTTTTGGCTCTCCACTCTTTGATTTTCTTACCTACTTTAAGTCAGACTAATCTTAAAATATCCGTTTCATCGTATCACCCCTAAATTCAAAATACATAAAAACACAGAAGTGATCAAGGGTATGGACTTTCGAGATAACTGCCCAGAGTCAAACCCCAGTTCCACCACTTACTGGCTGTGTGATCTCTGGTAAGTTACAAAAGCTCTCTCAACTGCCTTTACTTCCTCCTCTTGTAAAATGGAAGCTCATAAAGACTAAATGAGTGAATCCTTATAAGGTCCTTAAAAGAGAACCTGGCACATAATAAGCACTCAGTCAATTTTAGCTGCTTGTCATTATTGACATTTACCATTACTACTAAAGCTAGTGGTTCTCTGTGGTCCACCATATCCATTCAAGCCCAGAATTTTTGTTCGGATATGCTTAGCCTGGGTGAAAAGGAGGCAGCCAGACAAGAGAAAGACATGGGTCCATGATTACCTGTCTCATAGAATTCTTAGGAAAATCATATGAGGTGTGAACTTTGCAAAAAGAGCCATTCTAGGGCGCCTGGGCGGCTCAGTGGGTTAAGTGTCCGACTTCAGCTCAGGTCATGATCTCACAGTTCGTGGGTTCTAGCCCCACGTTGGGCTCTGTGCTGACAGCTCAGAGCCTGGAGCGTGCTTTGGATTCTGTGTCTCCCTCTGTCTGCCTCTTCCCCCGCTCACACTCTGTCTCTGTCTCTCCAAGATGAATAAACGTTAAAAAAAAAAAAAAAATTTTTTTTTTAAAGAGCCATGTAATCTGGAAGGCACAAAGCAAATGCTAGTGTTTAATAGTTAGTAAAAGATACAAACGTCAAAAGATCTTGAGAAATTAAGGTCTTAAATCCAATTAACCACAATTGGAACTAGATTTTATTAGGTAGTAATAACAGAACCAAGAGTTTAGGATGTCAGACGATCAGAGAATTGGGACCAAGGACATCTCAGTCTCTGAGAGAATAGACAACTGCTAAATGAAATGAGGTGTAACAACTGACATTTGTTGAATGCTGAGTACCAGGAATTGTGCTGATTATTTTACATGTGTTTTCATGTAATTCTCACAGAACACTCTGAAGTTGGTAACGTTATTCTATCCATTTTGTAGATAAGAAAACTGAAGCAACAAGAGGTTAATAACTAATTTTTCCAAGGCCACACAGGCACAGATTTGACCTCGGTCTGGTTCAAGTACTAATGTTCTGTGCTGCAAAAGATATTTCCCCTGTGAAAATTCAGTGCATATTCTGTTTATGGTTCTGAGAAATGGTAAAGGAAAAATTCCCCTGTAAACTTTTCAGCTCCAGCAGTTCCAAACTTATTTAACTTTTTTACTCTATCAGCTTTCAAACAAACAAAAAAAAACCCAAAAACTATCATCACAATTGAGCACAGTTTAAAAAGGATAAATAGGGGCGCCTGGGTGGCGCAGTCGGTTAAGCGTCCGACTTCAGCCAGGTCACGATCTCGCGGTCCGTGAGTTCGAGCCCCGCGTCGGGCTCTGGGTTGATGGCTCAGAGCCTGGAGCCTGTTTCCGATTCTGTCTCCCTCTCTCTCTGCCCCTCCCCGTTCATGCTCTGTCTCTCTCTGTCCCAAAAATAAATAAACGTTGAAAAAAAAAATTTTTTTTTTTTAAAAATAAAAAGGATAAATAAGGGGTGCCTGGGTGGCTCTCAGTTGGGTAAGCATCCTACTTTGGTTCAGGTCATGATCTCACCGTTCCTGAGTTCAAGCCCCACATTGGGCTCTATGCTGACAGCTCAGAGCCTGGAGCCTGCTTTGGATTCTGTGTCTCCTTTTCTCTCTGCCCTTCCCCTGCTCTTGTTCTGTCTCTCTCTCAAAAATAAACATTTTAAAAAAAATTTTAAAGGATAAATAACTGAGAACTGAGTTTTCAATCTGACTTCAACCTATAATAATACCTAATGTTTTCTGGGTGCCTTTTCTGTGCTAAGACAGTTCTGAGTGCTTTACATGTGTTAACTCATACCATCCTTCTATTATAAGTAAGTACTGTTATTGTCTCCACTTTTACTGATAAGGACCTGATGTATAGAGAGGTCTTTTGCTTAAGATCACAGAGCAGAGCTAGGACCCACCCAGGTAGGCCCCATTTTAAACCCAACTGCTTTATTGCCCCTCCTAATTTAGGACCTAGACTCAGATAGACTTTGCCCTTCCACAGTCCATAATTTATACCTGAAATCCTTAAGATTTTTAGAGTCAGGCTCAAAATTCCAAATATTTTTATTAGGTCCTGTTAAGGCTTCCTTGGTTTCCTCTCATTTCCACTGCTTCTTCCCAACCCTCAACTATATATAGCACACCATGCCATTCACCAGTCTTCAGTCTAGCTCATAGTAAGAAATACATGTGCTCTGTAGTCAGATGGACCTGGGTTCAAGACCAGGGTTCAAATGCAGGCTTTGCCACAGGCAAGCAGTGAGACTTCAACAAGTTACTTTTGTCACTCTGCGCCTCGGTCTCCTTTCTGAAAAATGGGATTAATGATAGTAATTTCTTCATACAGGGGTTAACAGAATTCAATAAGCAGGGCATATAAAGCTCAGTGTTGCATTTGGTTTTGTTGTATATGTCATTGACCTCATGTTATTGTTAGTAATATTAGTATTATTTAAACATTCTAGCTATTAAAGAATAGTTTTAAATTCCACCTTTTCTATTAAGAATCCAATAGTTGCAAAGACTACCAATATTCTACCTATATTCTATGTTCTGTTTTTTTCATAATTCTCTTCTTTAGATGGAAAGTTTCTTGATATCAAGGATCATGCCTTTTACCTTTGATCTCTTTAGAAATTAGCATAGTATTTTGCACACACGTGTATATAGTTAATCTTCATTATTCACAGGTTCCATATTTGCAAGTTTGTCTACTCATCAAAATGTATTTATAACCCCAAAGTCAATACTCAGTGGCATTTCAGTCACAGACCTGCTCAGGGCAGCAAGAAATTTGAGTCAGCTAATGTGCGTATTTCCACCTAAGGCTGAATGAGGCCAGTGATCTGCCTTCTTGTTTTATCTCTCATGCTCTAAACAAGTATCCTATTTGTGGTCTATTTAGTGCCACATTTTCGTGTTTTTTGTTCATGATTTCACCATGTAAAATGGCCCCCCAAGCATAAGTGCTAAAGTGCTGTCTAGGGTTCCTAAGTGTCAGAAGACTGTGATGTGCTTTATGGAAAAAGTACATGTCTTAGGTAAGCTTCGTAGACATAAGTTATAGTGCTGTTGGCTGAGTTCTATGTTAGTGAAGCATATATATGAAATAAGGTATCTCTAAATATACCTAAGGCAAGATTATGTATTGATCAGTTGACACAAATGTTATGCCCAGAGACTCACAAGAACCCAACGCTTTATTTTCTCTAGAATCAATATTCAGAATTTACTAATTCTTTGTTCACAGCAACTTTATAGACTCTAAGTACCATGAATAATGAAACTCAACTATGTGTCAGCAGCGGGTGGGCTGGGGTACATGCTTGGTAAAGGTCTCTTAGATGAATAATAGAATGACTGCCAATAGTCCTGAGCATGTGTGTCTTATTAGACATGATGTTCTTATTAGAAATAGTAACAATACTTTTATAGTGTTTTATGAGTTTAAGGAAGTACTTGTATATACAATATCACATTTTAGCTATATGGTAACCTTTGGAGTCTGATGTAATTATCCCACATTTCACAGACAAGAAAAGAGCAAACTCCAGGTCACTCACCAGTTTAGTAGAACCCAGAATTATTGACACTAAGTCTCCCATTCTTCCCAGGCTACCACTGCTACTCCACATCTTCAGGAATGTTTTCACCTTAACATAATTAGAATTATAAGAACATTTTATAAAAGTAAGAACTTTACAGAAAATATAGAGAGTTTTTAAACCATTTTGTTTGGGCAACAACTACTCATGCGCTTATATGTTCATAGCAGTCTCTTTACCTTAATTCCCACAAATGGGTATCCAAATGCCCTTACTTCTTTGAGTCTAAGAAACAAATTTTTTTCACATTTTAATATTTTGTAAAATTGAAATTTGTCTTATAACTATTTTTACATTGCTAAAGTATTTCTTAGGAAGGAGGGATAGGGGAAGCAAGCAAGCAAGTGCCTCATTAGCCAACATCTTTAAATCAGTACTATTTTAGAATTAAAGGAAATATTGGAGTAAGAATAACTGCGATTTATTGAGTGAGTGGCTACAAGGTGTCAAGCACTGTACTGGGTGCTCTAGAGCTATTACTCATTTAATCAACACGCAATGCTGTAACTATTCTTATCCTCACATGATGCATTCTGGAAACGAGAAAAGTGCCAATCAAAGACTTGTAACTTGGCCAGTCATTCAGCTTTTAGGTGGAGGAAGCAGTCTTGTCCCCAGGCCTATCTGTGCTCTTTACACAATGCTGCCTTCCATTCTGGAAACAAACTCACATCACATAAGGATATGTAACACACACTATGTATCTCTATTGAGAAATACACACTTAGCTACCCTTTCTAGACAATATAACTTAAAGGTATAACTTTTCCCAGAATGATTCTTTGGGCTTATTTTTTCCTGATAACCATACCTCATCATTTAAAATTGTACCCAATGTTCCTCAGTCTTTCCTTTGCCGATATTCTGTAAGCTTTTTTATTTTTGATAGAGATTCTTACATAGGCTTCTCCTGTTTCATTTGCATTTGATGTCCCATTTGTAATATATGCAAATATTTGCATATTACTATATAATATTGAATTTCTGCCTCAGATTTGACTAGTGAATTAGGTGAATTTTTTTTTTTCTATCTTACAGCTGATGGTTGCAGAGAAGAATGGAACAATCCGGTTTTATGATCTTTTGGCTCAACAGGCTATTTTATCTCTTGAATCAGAACAGATGCCATTAATGTCAGCTCACTGGTGCTTAAAAAACACCTTCAAAGTTGGAGCTGTTGCAGGAAATGATTGGTTAATTTGGGATATTACTCGATCCAGGTACTTCCTTAGTATAGTCATCTGTTGCTTACTCAAAAAGTCACTATTGCTAAATGATACATTGAGCCATTCTTGTATACCTGAGCCTCACTGTGGAGCAAAAATAAGTCTCTCTTGTAGAGGGACCAGAGCTACAGCTTTTCACATAACAGAGATAGATGCCCATGCTTTGCAGATTTACTTTGAGAGTAACCCAGAAAGAACAATGCAAAGGAAGAAATCTTAGACCTGAGCAGTATTTACTTGTGTTTAAAAAAGAAGAAAAAAAAACTGATCCTGTTGAATTATGGTGTTCTGTAACAGTTCTAAATTATGTCTGTTTCTATCATATTTCGTTTATGTTAATCCAGTGCTTATTTAGAATTTTATCACAGTTTAAGTACATTGGGTATTGTATCCTTTAAAGAGAAAATACCTTTTAAATCTTAAGTTCCTCTACTTGAGACCAGCATATAAATCCATAAAATGCAAAATGTTACCTTTTAGTTATCCTCAAGATAAGAGACCTGTCCACATGGATCAAGCCTGCTTATTCAGGTAATATATGATTTCTGTTGGAGCTGTATTTGGTTTTTTTGAGTTCGGTTACTTTGTTGCATGCTGTGCCCCCAACCTGGAATACTTTGCCAGTCCTCTCCTTTGTACTGAGTTGTTTGGGGGTGTTTTGGGTTTTATTTGCTGACTATTTTATAAATGGTTATTTTGCTTTCCTAACTAAGTCTTTGCTTTGTCTTTTTGTCTGGGTGAGGGAGTGATTTGTTTTCCAATATTTCCTTTGAAAATTTTTATAAAATACAAAACACATTACCACTCCACTAATACCATTACAACGATTTGGAGTATATACATCCTTATTGTTTGTTCTGATAAAGATATAAACTTCATTGTTGTGCTTCAGGTGAGAACACACTATATTATATATCTGCGACTTTTTCTCTATTTATATTAATATACATGTCTCCCTTGTTCTTACTGATTTTTGCATAATATTCCATTGTATATTTATTATGTTTATGTATATTTATGTGTTTTATGTATATTACCATAATATTTAATATTAATAAAATGAACAAATTAACAAATTAATGTATTAAATAATATTAATATGATAGTATTACTATAAGATACCATTGTATATTATATTATTGTTATTGTTTATTATGTATATATATTCCATTGCATAATTCCATTAGGGTGATTTTAGCTTCTAGTAACATGAATACTAACAGAATAAAACCAGTGGAACATTTATTATATGCTATATTTCATAAAATCTAAATTACCCCCAATAAAATTCTAGAACTTAGGGACACCATCATTTTTTGTACACCTTAGAAAAAACTACATTCGATTAAGTGTAAGAATGCTATAGATTGTAAGGTACATTCTGATTTCAGAAATGTGAGCATATCACAAGAGATGGGATGCTTCGGACAGAGGCAGTCTCGAGATTGGCTTAGTAGCTCATCAGTGCCAACAAGTTCAGACCTTTCCCTCTGCCATCTGCAGTGGCAGGGCTTTGGGCTTGTTGCTTCAACATCACAAGACGACTGCCAGGGTTCCATGCATCAGGGCCTCATACAAGCTTGTCCAAAGAGGAGAGGAAGGAACACTGAGGAATTGCTGCCATTGCCTTCACTCGGTTGTGTCTCATCCCTTGGGATCAAACACACTGCCAGACGTAGTTGGGGTTCAATTAGCATGGAAAGGGGCAGAAAGGCTGTTGGGCAAGCAACTAATAATGTCTGCCCATATAAAAATACTAACTAGACTTAGGCTTTTGGATTTTTTGCTGTCGTTGTTTATCAGTGAATTCTTTCTTTTTTCTTATATCTTCCCCACTGCCCTTATGGTAGTGCTGAGCATGTTGCTGGAACACTTGTTGATTCATTAATTCATTATATTTCAGTGTCTAGGATATCTTGAAACTTAAGCTTAAATATCTAACTATTCTAGGTGTTTGTATCATCCCAAGGAGTTTAAATGCATGAATTTATTGCTAATTGTACAACAAATGTCAGTAAGAACAATAAGTGTTGTTTTTTTGTTGTTTTTTTTTTTTTAATGTATTGCACTGTGAAATATTTTCTGTCTGTCTGATACCTTGTTTGTATCTCCTACCTCACTGTCGGCCCTTCGGTTATAAGAAAGGAACTGCTAACTTTGTGTAACTTTAGAACTTAACCAACTAGCACATGGTAAGCATTTAATAAATATTCATAAAATGAGAAAATATTTATAGCTAACTTCCCTGGAATTTCCAGTCTAACTGTGAAGCTGTATTAACAAATTTAGACTTCAAAATTATTGGTTTTATGCAAAAAGAAATAACTTGTTTTAGAAAAGCTTGTAGTTATCTGTAGAATACTATACTTATTTTTTTCTTTTCTTAGGTGGTCTACAGTTAATGAGAACTTGTTTGCAACCACTGGTTATCCTGGCAAAATGGCAAGCCAGTTTCAAATTCATCATTTAGGACACCCTCAGGTAATGTAGAGTTGTTTTGTGGCATATATGTTTCTGCATTTGTGTTTTTTACTTTTCTACTTATAGCCCCCAAATTTGTAATATGTAACTAAAGACATTTGTGAATGTCTTATCTGCTCAAATTGGTTGGAAAGAGAAAGCACTTTTTAATGTTTAAACCACCAGTGGTAACAGACACTTTGCCAGTATTCATGTAAGAAGAAATTTATTTCTTCTGTTTTATTTCCCTCTTCATTTAAATATAATAATTTTGCTTGTTTGCTTGGTTTAGGCTACAAAAATGTTTGAATCTAAGCTACTCCAGTGACTCGTAGATTATTTGTATCCTTCATTCTAGCCAGCTGCAAAAAATAATGTGTATTTCACCTATGAAGGAGCATATTTTTAATTCTGTTTCTGCTACATTAAACAAAGACAAGTTAGCAATGCATTTCTTATTTTTGAAGGGTAGTTTTTACTTATTAACTTTGGTGATCTATTGAGTTTCTCTAATTCTTTACGTATATTGTAGCCTGTCCTCATTGGTTCTGTAGCCGTCGGATCTGGCCTTTCCTGGCATAGAACTCTTCCACTGTGTGCAATTGGAGGAGACCACAAGCTGTTGTTTTGGGTAACTGAAATGTAAAACAAATTTTCTTTGTACCTTAGATGCATAAACTTTGTATTTTTAATACATATTTTGGAGAACTCCCTATTTTTATATCAAATATACTGTAAGCTCTAGTAATGTCCCAGTTGTTGCTTTTGTTAAATAAAATGTTAATGGTTTGAAAAATCATTTTCTTGCTCTGTGCTGTATATGTGCATGTATGTGTTTAAAAACATACATTTTTTAAAATCATCTTTCAAGACTATAATTGACTGAGCAGCTCCAGAAAAGAGATGATTTTATCACAGATTATCCAAAGTGTATCCTGTCCTCTATACTTTGAATATATGCTGTTTTCCTAATTCTCAGAGATGCAAACATTTACAAAAGGAAGAAAATGTCTTTCCTTTTAGTGTTACTCTGGAAGTGATTGAATGTATATGTGTGGGTATATGCATCTTTGTTAGCAGTTTATATGTGTAAGGGTCTTACAACTTCCTCAGTAATTATAAAAGATTATCATTTAATTTAATACAAAGAATGATTTTCACTTTCTTAAAAATGTGACTGATTGACTTAGTCCTGTTGACTATACACAAATTTCTTTTGACTAGACATCTCAACATTCTTAGAACATCTGGTGTATGGGATAAAGCTTACCTTGAAAAATGAATTATAATTAATATCTTTAACAGCCTCTGCCTTTTATGAATCTTCACCATTTTTATCAAGAAACTGAGATGTTTCTGAGATGGCACCTAGTGGCAGTAAAACAGCGCTGAAAGCACAGGGCCTGCTTGGGATTCTCTCTCTCTCTCTCTCTGACGCTCCCCCATGCTCGCTTGCTCTCTCTCAGAATAGATAAACTTAAAAAAAAAGAAAAGAAAATTAGCTTTACGAGACAAGGAAATGTTGCAAGTAATTTTTTTAATGCAATGAAATGTTTTAATCATGTAGATATTTAAACTACTTTGTGCTTTACTGATGAAAAAATGCATAGTATACCAATTTCTAAGTCACTTATTTGATACAATAAATTGTTACTAAATAATAGCAGTGGTTTCCTTTACCCCTTCATAAGCGGATTGTAACTTAAAAAGGCAAAGGTCAGGGAATTTGGACATGTTTCCTTTTAACAATCTCTGTGATGGGACAGAGAACCCTAAAAGCATTAGGGTAGATCAAAGAATTTGTAAGAATTTTTCATTTCAGGATGTGTCCCAGATATAAGGAATACATATTGAGATGTCAGATTGAGCCAGTGCATTTGAAAATTGTCTAAGGACGTTGACTTAGGAATTGAGTGGGTTGTTATTAAGGGTGGAGATTGAGGGGAGCCTGGGTGGCACAATCAGTTAAGTGACTCTTGGTTTTATAGCTCAGGTCATGATCTCACAGTTTTGTGAGTTAGAGTTCCACATCAGGCTCTGCGGTGGCAGCACAGAGACTGCTTGGGATTCTCTCTTCTCTCTCTCCGTCTCTCTCTCTGCTCCTCCCACACTCACACTGTCTCTGTCTCTCTCTCAAAATAAATAAATAAACTTAAAAAAAAAAAAGGATGGAGATTGAAAAGTATGTTGGCCTTGGATTTTTGGGTGTCTAAGAAATGGGTTCCTTGGAATAAGGGCTTACCCAAATATAAGTTATCTGATGAAATTACCCAGTAGCACTACTGCCTGTTAGGGGAACCCGTCTTGGGAAAAGATAACCCATGGTGGTCACATAAATACTAAATTTATGCAATTTATGCCGAGAAGCAGGAAGTGTTACCCTTAAAGAAAGCAAATGGTTGTTTCATTTATAAATTAATATAGTGACTATAAGACTCAAGTCTCAAGAAATGAGAGGGATTTCTTTATCCCTTAGCTTCAGGAGTGGTATTCATGTTATCCTGAGTAAGCATTGTTAAACTTTACTGTGTTCAGTTACTTTAAGTGGCATAATGATATTCTTTTTCCATAGTAAATTTTGTTCTTAGCAAACTGTTTAAATTAGACTAACACAGGAGGCAGTGTTCAATGGAGAATTAGTTATTGGTCATCACTTCTAATTTCTGATAAATAACATGAGTTCTGATTTTGTGTGTGTGTATGTGTCCCAGTTAGTTTTAGTTTTTCCATGTTTGTTTATTCTAAGAGGGTTTTTCTTCTGCTGAAAATAAGTTTTCCTGAGGATTGCTTCACTTACAAATATTGTGGAAAGGAAAAAAAAAGTTGTACTTGTGTTCTAAAATTCTTATTATTTAGAGATGTTGAAGCAAAAGTCAGGATATCACAAATCTGCAAGATGTCAGAATTAAATCCTACTCTTTCAAAACGATGGAATCATAAGTCCCATTTTATTTTTATGATTTGGCTTGTACGTTGTGAGTATTTCAATGTCTCTCCCATGCCAAAACACAAAATCGTACACCCATGCACTCCAATTTGTTTCTTTGGTAATTTGTGACTACATATTGACACTGACCTAGAAATGTTCCTGTTGCTGTTTTAAATCTCATGTCAGTGGAGAAGAAATTGAAATCTGGTTTGCACATTTGTGTCTGGTTTTTTGTAATTGTCCAAATTCTGACATTGTCCCAGAAATGCTGATTGGGAAGTTATGAGACAGTATTATACCCAAGACTGATTTCTTAGGAGAGAACATGTATTTGCTCCAGATTATTCCTCATGTTTCTGTAGCTCGAAAAGTTAAACTCAACTCAACTTTATGTGATACCAGTAATAGCCTTAGATTTGATCCCAAATAAAATGTGCAAAGTAAAAATCACCATTATGATGGTCCATTTCCACATATTCCTCATGAGAGCATGGTCCAGCCTCAGAAGCAGCATTCTGTTCCAATATATCTTTATCAAGCTGTCGGTGTGCTTAGTAACAAGGACAGGAGAGAACACTCTGTTTCTTTAATCTAACACCTTGCTGATTCAAAAACATTTATTTTAACAGGCATTGAAAAGGAATTTCAAAACAGCTAACATTCGTTTCTAATTATACATTTAAAGAAATATGCCTTTTAAAACATAGGTAGAAGTTTTCTTTTGTTGTTATTAACATGACTTTAATTTATAGCAACCATCTGTTAACTAAGCACAGTAACACAACAAAATAATTAGGATATCAGCTTTGAAGATCTCCTTTCAGAAAAGGAAAAACAAATACACATTTGATGACATATCCATTACTCAAACTCGACATAACCAATTTCTTTTGCATGCATGGACACAGACTTCATGAGAAATTGAAAGCACTGAATCTCCTTTCTGACCTTTTCAGCTGTTCTTTGAACTACCTTAGTAAAAACAATTGTTGCCCGTATGTTGGATCAAGTTACATTTGCCTGGAAATTTCTTTGGATCAGCTTATTTCTGTTTAACTGATGTGTTTGTTATATTGCTATTTGCCTTCTCAACTAATTTTTAACAGAATACTCTACCTTGGGACTTGTACACTTACATAAATTTTTAAAATCCATAAGAACAAGGGGCGCCTGGGTGGCGCAGTCGGTTAAGCGTCCGACTTCAGCCAGGTCACGATCTCGCGGTCCGTGAGTTCGAGCCCCGCGTCAGGCTCTGGGCTGATGGCTCAGAGCCTGGAGCCTGTTTCCGATTCTGTGTCTCCCTCTCTCTCTGCCCCTCCCCCGTTCATGCTCTGTCTCTCTCTGTCCCCAAAAAAAATAAACTTTAAAAAAAAAAAAAAATCCATAAGAACAAGGGTAAGTAAAAGGAGAGGCCACCAAGTTTCTCCGCCTTTGCAAAAACAATTTGAGTAACCCAATAGATTTAAAGATGTATGAAATAAAGCATTTCTACCAACTGCATGTTTAGTGCTGTATTGAGTTGAGTGCCTGTGTCTTTATAGTAAAAGACAATAAATGCTGCTGGTATGTTTGCTTCTTAAACACAAAACGTTGGTCTTTCTTATAAGCACAGCTGTTGTTCTATTATTGAGCCAAATCCAGACAAGATTAGACTCTGGCCAAAATTAAGGTTAATCTTTGCAACCATCTCAAGTAAGAGTTTTCCAGTGCTGTTTTAGGAAATCTTTATTTTTGGGACAGTGTATAAAGGAAATAAGCCCCAGACAACTAACCTCTCAAGAAAGCCAGAGGCAACTAGTCATAAATTATGCCACAGTGATAAAGAAGTTGGAGGCTGTCTAAACAAATTAGTTCATTTTGGTTCATTTTTACTTAGACTATAGCTGTAAGAAATGATTCTCTTAGTTGACATTAGTTTAAACCAGACCAATAGAAGTTATTATTATTAATTTTTTTTTAAGTTTATTTCTTTGAGAGAGAGTACGAGCAGGGTAGGGGCAGAGAGAGAATCCCTAGCAGGCTCCACACTGTCAGCGCAGAGCCCGGTGCAGGGCTCGAACTCACAAACCATGAGATCATGACCTGAGCCGAGATCAAGAGTTGGATGGATGACTGAGCCACTCAGGTGCCCCTAGAAGTTATTTTTACTTTTTTTTTTTTTAATGTTTATTTATTTTTGAGAGAGAGAGAGAGATTGAGAGACAACGTGAGTGGGGAAGGGGCAGAGAAAGGGAGACACAGAATCTGAAGCAGGCTCCCGGCTCTGAGCTGTCAGCACAGAGCCCAACATGGGGCTTGATCTCACAGTTTGTGAGATCATGACCTGAGCCAAAGTCTGGTGCTTGACAGACTGAGCCACCCAGGTGCCCCAACTAGGAGTTAAAGAACTTTTTTCTACCATCTTTTCTTAATTAGTGTTTCTTTGGTTAATTGCTAGTTCTTTCTTCCACTAGTATTAACTAAATCTAGGTATTTATTATGGATAAAATAACTCAGGTATATTTTATAGTAATTATTGTATAAGAACTCACTTTAGTTTTCAGACTACAAATTTTTTTTTTTCAACATTTATTTATTTTTGGGACAGAGAGAGACAGAGCATGAACGGGGGAGGGGCAGAGAGAGAGGGAGACACAGAATCGGAAACAGGCTCCAGGCTCTGAGCCATCAGCCCAGAGCCTGACGTGGGGCTGGAACTCACGGACCGCGAGATCGTGACCTGGCTGAAGTCGGACGCTCAACCGACTGCGCCACCCAGGCGCCCCCAAATTTTTTTTTTCATTAAGGTTTAGACTCTGGAATTTAAAATACTTTGCCAAATGTTATGTAGGGCTGATTCTCATGTGAGTTGGACACTAG